AAAAAAAAAAAAACAAAAAAAAACACCAACCCTAGATTCCCAGCCCCTGGTTCCTGAGCTGGAGCCTCAATCCCTGCAGTTCCAGAAGCTCTACGCAGGACCGAACAGAACAGCACACCTAAACCCAAACCCACTGAAACCTACAAGCCCCGAACTTCCGAGGACAACGACAGCGACAACTATGCCGACTCCAGCTGCTGCTGTGCGGCTCCTTATCATACTACCACTAGTCGTTGTCGTCTTTTTCCGCGGCAGCCGTCGTCTTCGTCACGGGGGTGGTCGCGGTCGTGGTGGTGTGGTTGTGGTTGTTTTGGTTGCTGCTGCTGTCCAATAGATCCAACGAAAGCTACACTTACAAAACCAACCCTGAATCCGTCCGTTCGGACAGCAGCCCGCGAGGTTTCCCAAGGCTAAGTCAGACGGCTGCACCGATGGCCTGGAGGCAGTGGGAAGGGCGCACTTGACCGGGAATGTTCGGGTTGGAGAGTTCTTACGGACAGCTACCACGTTCATGTACGATGATAATCCTGATGGTGTCTTTGCTGCTGTTTTCCACCTACCGAATACGACTGATAGTTTTAGATAAATGCTGCAGATGCGGGCATTACAACCATCGCAGATGTGGGGAGGCTTCACACGGTTTTCTTGGATCCCCATGACAGTACGGCAATTTTGTTAAGCTCCATCAATAGGTTATCTGGCTGGCGAGGTCGTTTGGGGAGTCCATGAAACCAAATGCATGCATGAACCATACTACGAACCAGAGTCTTTCAGGGCAACACCAACTCACAACTAAGACTGAAGCGGACCGCCTCGAATCAGCAAGCCACCAAACTCTTGCAGACTCTGCATTCCTGCCTCCGGGGATGTGCGAAACACGAGGTGAGACGGAACGTGTGGAAGGAGTTGATCTGTTGATCACAGCTCCTCGCCTGAGTGCGCAAGAATGCCAACCCCGAGGAACGCTGAAAGATGCGAAAGCTTCGAGCCTGTGTAGGCCATGGAACCATGCTTCAAGCTGACAGCATATGTATTCGTTTACGATCATAGTACCTACGGGCCGTTCTTTCACCATGGCTGAGGCTGCTGACGGTGTTGTGTGGTGAAGGGATCAAAACAACACACCTTGATTCGGAATCCAGGCAGATGCATTAGAGCCGTTTCTGCATCGGCTTGATGTTGCCTTCGCTTTAAGCGCAGATCCACACTTCCGAGCGTCCCCCCTGTAGCTTCAACATGACCCCCGACATAGAGGCGAAACCTTGGCCTTCCTGCAAAGCACCAGGCACCTAAAGCCATAAGCCTTGCAGACTCCAAACAAAAGCGGACTGAAGCAGCGAACCCAAATCCTACACAGGGCTCTCAATGCCGAAATTTCTGGCCCAAAAACGAGGCTTCTTCAGAGAAGGGCTCTAGTTATTGAAGGCCTCAGGTTCCAATTTCTGCGTGTCAGTCAGGGTCCCAGCCGGGTTAACGGCCAGGTCCTTGGAGTTTTAAGGTCTTGGAGTTCAATTCTTTGGAGAGTTTGGTGAGCCAAGTCCTCAAGCACCGGTGTCTTGAGGTTCCCCGAAAGGGATGTGAACATCTGAGCTTAAGCTTGCTCTCATCTTCAGCACGGGAAGAAGCACGGAACTGTCTAAAGAAACCCACAACATGAAGCCCTCTGTTCTTCCGTAAGCTAACCCTAAACCCTAAACCCTGAAAAGTACCGTAAGGCCGTCACCTCTTCCTTTGTTGCCCTGGCGATGTGTTGGCTCAGTGTCGAAATTTCAAGGCCGAGGACGACGGGCCTACGGCTTGTAGTAGTTCGAAGTCCGAACCCCTTAACTAAGGAAGATACCTTAAATTATAGGGACCTTAATATTGTATGATTTAGGGTCTATTCTTTAATTAAGGGGTTGCCGTAAGCCCCTGAGTCTGAGAGATTTCAAGCTCTAAACCTCGTGACCTGGAACCATGCTGTCGCAGTCTTCAGGGCACCTGGAGGCCTTTGTCCTGTTTAAATGTTGCAGTTTCTTATGTTTATAGATTGCAAGCCGGCTGCCGCACAGGAAGGCGCATCACACGATGGCCAGCGAAGCTCAAACGTCCCCCAACACGACCCACGAGACCCCTGTCTTGTACCCTTGCAAATGTGCCACTACCCCGAGGCTGGACTGTACGATATGCAAGTTTCGCAAATATCCCTGGTTCCGAACCCTAAACCCTAAACCCTATTTGGGAGTTAGGGGCTTGTGAGCTTGGGATTTGCGGTGTATCAAAAAGCTTGGGGGCTTTAGAGGGTGTATCCAGACGGGCTCATCCGCGCCTTCCGTCTATCGAGCCTCTCACGCAGCTCTTGAGCTTTTGTGGCATGCTTCCGGAGGTACTTCCTGAGCTGGCTGAAACAGCAGCTTCAAATCTAAGGTGTCATCCCGTATGTGGTGCTCCAATCTTGTGCTTACAGGCCTGCAATGCAGCCTTGATTTTTGGAGAACACACAAAGAATCTGTTGCTCAACATATAGCTAGCACGTCCAGCTTAAACATTGGCTCCCAAAATCTCTCGACGAACAGGCAAACACTAGACCCATAAGCCTGAATCCGGCGAGTGGCCACAAGCCCTTCGCAGTTCTTTCGCCATCGTAGACGGTTGCATTCCTTTGCCCTGCCTTCACGAAGAAGATCGTCGGAAAGGAACTCCAATCCTGAGGTTTCGGTTTAGGGTTTAGGGTTTAGGGTTTAGGGTTTAGGGCTTAGGGCTTAGGGTTTAGGGTTTAGGGTTTAGGGCTTAGGGTTTAGGGTTTCCCGCTTAGGCTGAGACTCAAAGGCTCTACGACTCTCCGAGTTTAGGAATTTGGGGCTTTCCGAAAATATGGGACCCTAATCTAGTACCCTAAATAGTAGGATCCTTACTATAAGGACCCCAAATAAGGTACCCCATATTTTCGGAAACTCCCATTTGGCGCCAGTGGAAGCCAGTGCATCTCCAAAGCTGGCCCTCATTCAAGTGTAAGGCACTGCAACAGAGCCAGGGTGTCAATCGCACGCGAAGTAGGTCATGCAGGCGACGATGCTGTAGCAGTACTTTGATTTCTTGTCTTGCAGTCCTAGAAACTCTGCACAGGTGGCTGTTGATGACTATCTTTTGCTATCAGCATTCTGAACACATCCTTCCCGCGGCTTCCACATCTCCCTTCCTCTCGCCGGCCATGTTTCTTAAGAAGCCATCGTGGCCAATATCATCAGGCTGATAGAACTTAGAATGTAACACCACAGGTTCCGGCTAGCTTGTCAACAAAAACTCTGCACCCCGAAGCCGGAATCCCAAGTACCCTCTTCCATCATCCTTCATCCGACACCCAACTCACTCTCCCCGAAGCCTGCAGGAGACATCCGGTTCAATAAGGCTCCGAAAGCCAGCAAGATCCTCAGGAAAGGGGTGCCCGGCCCCACTTCTAGCCTGTTTCAGTGCATGGATCGATGAAATCGACTGGACTGTCGTTCGCGGTGCCGTCGATCTTTGCAATGGACAGCAAGTCACCTTAGGGAAACTGTGGGCCAGACTGTGGCTTCCGAAGCTGCAAAGGCTTGGAGTTTAGGCTTTGGTGTTAGAGGGTTTGAGGCTTGGTGCACCTCAAACGGTCTAAAGGCAACCCAGCGTACGAGAGAATATGTCGTGGAATATGATGAACGTTAGAGCGAGACCGAGAGGCCAACTCTATGGCACGACGGTTGGTTGTGGAACATTCTCTAAATAATAGATGGACTAGTTGCTACAGGTTAAAGTCCAGAGTTCGGGGTTGACTGACCCCCTCCACCCGCAAACCCAACTACAAAAAACAAACCCGACCCTAACACCCGCAGGCCTTCTAGGCTTCCTGGGCTTCTGCCCAGTTCCCATCTGCTACATCAGAACCGCCATCACAATTGCCAGATGTCATTTTCCATTTATCATTATGGTCATCATCAACATCATCACGATCATCCCGGTGAGATTCTTGCTCTGAAGGAGTAAAGAACAAAGGACTCGGTGAACAGGGTCTTGGGTTTCGGTGCATCGAGCCCTTCGGTGCTCCCAATTGGGCAAGCCAGGCGAGGTTATCGGTGCCTGGTCGGATGAGGTGAAACGCTTCCAAGCACGTCGAGCGTTTGAGGTTGCGGGTCCAGGCTGTTTGAGCAATTTTACAGCAGGGGGAAAGGCTTGAAGCCCTAAATGTTGAAGAGACGAGCCGAAAGCAGCAAAATCTGCCAGCCCAGTGGCCCAGCTCCTCTTTCTTGATCTTCTTCGCCAGCTTGCTATACTCGGGCTCGAGTTTCCTTCATTTCTTCAGAGCGACGCCCGTGGGAGTCATTACTGCACGTAAACGGCACCCAAGTCCATCAGTCTCGTATGCGCCTGCAAACATGACCTCCATGGTGAAAAAGCATCAATCCGTCGTCATAATGGTACTCATCGAGGTGATGATCTCCATCTTTAACTCAACATCGACACTTTACTTGCAAAGGGCCATGAGTACCGACCTCGGACCCGTTGATCTTTCACCCGCAGCTGGCTACTTAAGACCTATGCAACAACCGCAATGATGTGGGTTCTTGCGAACGTAACTCCAACCCCTCTACTCCCATCAGTGCTACCAGCCTGCATACTACAAGTCGCCTTCTGTTGTTCTTGGAAACGAACTTTGTGCGCTGTTCCGGTTGCTACTTATTGCTGCTGCGATCTCCTCAAACTGTTGCCAGGCTGCTTGCAGTGCCCACACCAGGGTGCATAAACTTCCA